TCTGGAGCTGCTGCAACACTCTTCTGGAAGTGAGCAGCTCCCTTTTCCCCCCTCTCTCTCTCAGGACACCGCTCCTTAGGATTCATCAGGCCCAGCAGCAGCTGGAGAGAATGTGGGGGTCTGGGAGACGCCACAGGTTGGCTGCTGGTTGATCGCTGTCCTGCAGGAAACAAGAGGCTCCTCGGAGGGGCAGGGACTTGCAGCACCGAAGGCACACAAAGAGGGTCAGGGTGGGAGGATGAAATGGCTGATTCTGTCCCTTTGAGTGTGGAAACCTCCTTGCCACACACGTCCCCTCCCACGCCAGATCCAGCTACTTGAAATGCAGCTTCCACAGCGGCACTGGCCTTCCCCTCGCCTTGCTCTGGGACGAGGCCGTGCAGCACGCACACGGCCCAGCGTGCCCCTTCTGTAAGGGCTGCCCGTGCCAGCACGGCTCCAGCGCCGGCTCCAGCACACAGCACCGGCTGTTGGGCTGACAGAGTGAGCCCAGATGGGCACTCCCTGACAGAGGTGCTTGGTGGAAATGGTTTCTCTAGCAGTAGGAGTGATTTCCATCACCTTCGTGTTTGAAATCACTCACCAAAATGAGGTATTTTCAGTTGTGCAATTCTTTATCATGTGGAGAGTGGTGGAGATGGGAAGGGCGGGGAATGAACAGAAACGAACCCTCAAAACTCCAATTTCTTTCCCATTTAGTTTCAAATGTGAATTGCATATCCCAAACACAAATCAGGGAAAAATGGTTTTCCTTTTAAAGTCTTCCTTTAAGTAGGCCCATCACAGTGCAGTGGCATCCTTCAGCTGCGTGTGCCTGGGCTGGGTCGGGGCCATCCCTTACACCCAGCGGGGCCACAGGCCAGTGGGAAGGTCCCTGCTGTGGTCTGGGGAGTGGGGCTTCCCACGGGGGCTGCCCCAGCTGGGCTGGGTGCAGGAGGGTCCTGGGCTCTGCTGCCCTGCTGCTGCACACTTCTGTGTTTCAGTGCCACACTTACTTTTCCTCGCAAAGCAGCTTATGTGCCCGTGGTGAGCAAGGGGAAGGACAAGCAGCTGGCACTGTCGGTGTACAGCGCCATGGGGACGTGCCGAGCACTGAGGCCCTTGAGCAGCAGCAGAGTTTCCAGTGGTGCAGAGAAAACTGTCTCCCATTGCAAAGCATGCACCATGCTACCTGGTCCTGCATGACATATGATTACCCAATCCCTTGAAAGCCACGCTGAGGGGAAGTTTATGCGTTTTCAGCAAGGTAAGACTTGCTGACCAAATAATTGGCTTCTAATGGGTGCACAGCACGTGGCTTTGCTAAGCCTGTAGTTTTGGGACTATACTTGTCTGTAAATTATTGATACTGTGGTGTAAGGTTGAAGTTAAGGAGGAAGATTCTCATTTCACAGGATTTCTCTAGGGACCGCAGTACAGAAGGTGCCTGACTCCAGGGGAAGACACGGTGGGATGCTGTTCTGTGCACACTTGGAAACCGGCCTCGCACCGGCCGTGCCACTTGCTTGTGCTGCGCTTCCTCAGCCTCCGCTATCTGGGTTTGTGCGGGGGAAGATGCTGGAACAGCCTCAGCCCAGCTAAGGCAGTGTTCTTTGTGGGAATGATTTGCTGTGCTGGGAGGATTTCTTCAGTCTGCTGTCACCACAAGGAGTGAACTGATGTTCACTGAGCATTACTTACCACTTGACAATCACCTCCATTGTCTCTGTGATCAAAACAGCAGCACAGGGAAGTGTGGCTGTGAGTGGCAGGTACGTCTGAGGGGTTGTGCCAGGTATCTTCCACCCGCTGCTCTACCTGCCAAATCTAAATGCAATTTACTGTGATATGGACGCAGTGTCATCCAGGAGGCACAGCATTCCCGATACATGCGCTACAGCTGGGAGATCTCGTCTGTGTCTACCTCTGTGCACATCCCAACACTCTGCAGACACAGGTGATGAAAAGGTAGAACAAAGGCAGGAGGAATCTTTCTCCTGAGTTCCCAACCAACCCAGACAGACAAATCAAAGTCAGCACTTGCTGTAGATCCAGGATACCCAAATATGCAGCCCTAAAAACATCACTGTGGGCCCCAGCAGCCCATGGGGTCTGCCTGCAGCCCCACATCCCCTTCCAGAGCCAACCCCCTGTGCTGGGCTGCAGCTGGGGGTGGCCTGGGAGCGGGTGGTCTCGGGAAGCAGGGGCAGCACCAGGAGATGGTGGCACCAGGTCAGGGCCTGGGCGGGAGCGGGAAACCTCAGCTCTGAGCGCTCCGCCTGCAGCTGGGTGTGGGGATGCCCCACGGCGGGCAGTCAGCCTCCAGCCCCGAGTGGGGTCTCAGGCAGCCTCACTGGGTGAGGGAAGGCTTTTGGGGGCCTGGCCCTCCTGGGGTCCATCCTGAGTGAGCCCTGCGGCCAGGGCTGAGCTCCCACAGGCAGCTGACTGCTGACCAGCAAACTGCTGCCAGGCTTTCTTATCTCCTGTCTGTTCATTGTTCCAGTGTCCTTGAGAGCAGAGGAGAGGGACTGTTAGAGCCCTGTGTGAAAATAAAGGGAGGTGGAACAAAGAGCTGGGCAGGATGGGCTGGCACTGCTCCTGCTGCAGGCACATCCTCCTCACCCCCCAGCCAGAGTCTCAGAGGGAGCAGCAGGGGCTGTGAAAAAGCAGCTGGGGAGCTCAGGGTGAGGTGCAGGGCTATTGGGAAGCTGAGTGCCTGGGAGAGGGATAATGGGAACAGTTTCCTCAGCAGCCTGTGCCTACCTCTGGCTGTAAATCACAAGTCAGCACCACACAGAAGGCCCCAGTGTGCTGGCTGCGTGCTCCTGTGCAGGAAAACCCCACATTTGGAGAGCTTGCTGAAAAATGGGCTGGAGGAGTGAGCACCAATTCCACTGGGAAAACTTGTTTTTTCTGGCTAATGCTTCCCGTTGCTAGCCCACACCAGTGAGTTCCACCCCAGTGAGCAGCAGCCAGCCCCTGTGCTGCGCTGGGGATCGCAGAGCAGCAGCTCCGAGCGCGCCAGCCGCGAATGCCCAGCCCGAGCACGTGCACCAGCACCAACCCATCCGCTCCCCATAAATGGCAGCACTTCACCCACACCGACACTGGCAGAGCAGCGACTAGACAAAACTGTCCCTCTGAAATCTGCAGTTTAAATACAGCGGAAAAACTAGAACAGCAGAACACAAACTGAACTGGGTAAGGTAAGATTTACAGGGAAAACATTACTAAACTGAGCTGGTAAGGAAAGATTGACTCAGGAGCACAACAGAGACAAAGGCAGCAAGAGCAGCCTGTCCAATCAATCGGACCTGTCACTATGCAAAAACATCCCTATTTCAGAGCTGCATACAGCTGGAAAAGTCTAGCAGAAGGGGAATCTGACTCCCAAACCCCACTGCCTTCACCTACCACTCTCTGAGCCTTTGGGAGTCATCTCCTTATTTCAGGTACCTATGGGGGCTCTCTCCTGGCCAGCATGTTTCATCCACCACAGGAGCCCTAACTGTGAAAATAAATCACTCAAATGACAAATGCTAGGAAAGCTCCTAGGAAGAGCACTAGAAGACAGAGAATTGTGTTTTGGCAGCTTCTTCCTAATTTTGGGCGTGGGAGATGCCCAGACATCAGAAAGGGACATCTGTATTTCTTAGAGCTGAGCAAGAGCAAAGGAGTAAAGTAACTGTCCAAGCCAGGCTGCGGTCTTGTCGTGCAACTGGACATGAGCCTCCTCCTCGTTCCCACTGCAGCCATCCAAACGCCCGTAAATATGCCACACCACAGCGCCAGATGATGTGCAGCCTGCTCCAGGCCGCTGCCCTTCTGGCTGCTTTCCTGCCTTTGTGCTCCACTTCCCGAGCAGCCCCAGCCCGCCCGGCTTGCACCGCTCCGGGGCCAGCCCAGCCTGGAGCCACCCTGCAGGACAAGGCCACGTTCATGCAAAGCTCTTGCTGGCCTTGGTCAGCAGACTGCATTCGTGCAAGGAGCGGGACTGCTGTCACAAACAAAGCCCCTAGAAACGCTGGGGCTTGCTAATCCACCGGCTGGCCAGAGCCTTACATCAGATGCTGTCAGCAGTGCTGGGAGTGCCCTGCCCAAAGCAGGCGTTGTGCCAGGTTTTGCTTGGCTTGGGAATACTGGAGTGACACAGAAACTTCCCCAGTACATGTTTTGATTATCCTTCAGGTGGTCTTTGCTTTCTGTTTGTGGGTGGATGTTTTTATTTTTCAGGGACTCTTTGTATCTTGGATTATTAGGGATGAGAACCAGTGAGGTGTGGATCTGACTGTGCTCTTCACACACAAAACTGCACTGAATTAGCAGTCTTGATGACAAGTGTGATACACAGGAGCTGGACAGAGATCTGGGTACTGAATTCATGGAGAGGGCTGCTGTCTGCTGGCAGATGCTTCACGAGCGGGAAGAGAGGCTGGAGCCATCGATCTGTCTACGCACCCTGCCTTATTTATCTGTCTTTAGTTATAGGACTAGAGCTCTACTCCTCCCTCTTGTCTGTGAGCCAGTCCATGCCTCATCTTCACTACATGCAGCCATTTCAGGGCTACGAGCAGAGATGTGTTTATTAAACCTCCCTGCAAGTGACATCAGTTACAATAAACGGGAAAAGTAAACGGTAAAAGTAACTCAGCAGGATGACACTTCAGCAAAACAGCCATTTCAAACGTGTCTCCAGAAAAGATGAGGCAGTTTGTTTGCTTGAAAGGACCGATCAGTCAGTCAGTCAGTCAGTGGTGGAAGGTGCAGGGCAGCGCGGCCGGGGGACGGCGGCTCTGCAGGGCTGCAGCCGCCGCACAAGCCCCCCTGCGCCGCGCTCCCTGCCCCGGGACCGGCCCCAGCGCTGCCGCGGGGAGCGGCCCCTCGGCGGGGCCCCGGCGGGGCGGGCGGGGCGTCCCCCGGGACACCGGGCGGCGGGAGGGGCGCCCGCCGTCGCGCCGG